GCCCAAAAGCTTAACGAGACAAAATACATACATATATATATATTTTTATATATATATATATAAATGCATGCAATGTATTAGAAATATAACTGCTAGAAWTATAACTGTTTAAAGAAAATTCCTAGCCGGTCAGATTTATCCAAGCATTTACTGCCACAATTTTTCATTGGGGAGGTACAAAGAGAAGGAAAGAGGTTGAGGTGGCTAGGTGTTTTAACACACTTTGTTTCTTAATACTGCTGTGTTATCTTAGATGTGTTATTAAAGAGAAGAATATTTGTCACGAAGGAGAAAAAATCCAAACAGAAAGCATGTTTCTACCTCTAAGTTGTTTAACAGTGAAAAAGCCTGTTGATACTGGGCTTGTTTAACTCTGAAGAATCATATCTAAGCAAATTAATTATGTCTTCTAAACCAGGATTTTTAACAGCAAGATCATTTAACCATTTAACACAGATTCCTGAAAAAATCATCCTGCAGCTAAATTTGATGGTATTTGGATAAAAAAAAAAAAAAAAAGTGTATTCTTTACTAACACTTCACCTGTTGTTTTACAGAAAAAGAAAAGAGCTGGCAATAGGAATTCAGAATTCAGTAGCACAGATGCAGATCTAGATACAGTAAAAGAACATGGGGTTTTGTTTGAGTGCTCTCCTGATAACTGGACTGATCAGAAGAAACCACCACCTATAATGAGTTACTGGGTTGTAGGGTAAGTTTAAAAAGAGATGTATCTTTCTCTGGAATGGAAACTTCCTTTCCCTAATTTGCTTTCAAATATATATGTATGAAATTAARTTCTGCTGTTATCATTGCATTTGATAGTGCTTGTTCACCGGTGCTATTATCTAAACTTAAGTCATTTCTCTTAATAAAATATATATACATATATATGTCTTGCTACATAGCTAAGGGTAATTTGTAGTACAGAACAGCATACTGCCTGATGTATTGAATATTAGAAATAATAAATTTAAAGTAAGAGATTGTAATGAGAAATTTTCCTTGCATTTCCTGATGCATGAAAACCTCCATCATCACTTGATCCTTCAGAATATAAAAATCTTGCAATTTTTGAAGTCACGGTCAATAAGCTACAGTCCACAGCCACTATTTGTCTTTGGTGTTGTTCCCCCTTTCTACCTACATTTTGTACTCTTGACATTTTAACTCAATTAAATAGATATTCATGCTATAATTAGGAGGTCAACAGGATTTTTGCTTCTTTTGTGTGTGTTCATCATCTGTCTTTTGTATATGTACTTGATTTTAAAAAAAAGGCAATGCAAATGTTTGATTAGGCAGAAATTATTTTCAAAAATTGTTTGTTCAAGGGATAAAAGGGAAATAAATGACTCTGCTTGATTGATTCATTATATTATTATAGTATTATTATTAACTAGTGAAAATTTCTATCTTTTGTTTTTCAGGAGACTCTTTCTGCATCCAAAACCTCAGGAGTTTTATGTCTGTTTTCATGACTCAGTCACAGAAGTGGCTGTTGAACAGGCCTTTAAGCTATCCTTCGGCTTAGCTACGTAGATGGGCTTTTGGACTCTTTGGAACCTCTCCACCGTATTCACACACCAAGACAAATGAACTGAATCGTGGTACTCACCTAGGGCATATATCTGAAACACTTTTCAAGTAGTAAACCTACCTTGTAGTGTCACACAGATGTGGAACTTAAGTGATGATTTCTTATCGAATCACTTTAACATTTAAAAAGATGTCAGAGAACCAAATTCCTTATTTTAATACACTGTCAAATTATTTATCCTGGTTATATTTTTATTATATGAAAACATCAACATAATTTGTACATTCACTGGTGTTCAGGGTACGATATTCAACGTAAAATGGTAAGCTGATATGCTCAAAGTGCTCTCTGAATATTTGGCAATCAGGTATGAGAGAAGAAATAAATTTTGCAATTCATTAAAATTTTGTGACTCTARGGACATGAAGAATCCTGAATGATTTCAGTAGCCTTTTGTGAATCAAACCAGAAAGAAATCTTTTGGCAGGTTAAGGGCACTTAGCCACCTAAACCTAACAGCCTACCATTTTCTTTTCCAGGATGGTCTTCTGAATACTTAAAGGCTATAGGGTATTTGACATTTTACCTGATAAGTTTACCTGTAAATGATTATTGTATTTTCTATAAAGCAGTTTTGAAAGCACAAAAGTAAATGTGTAGAGAACAAAAATAGTAGTTGGTAGTTTAATACCTGTGCATGAACTTGGCTACTTTTATATTTTTCTCATGATTTTATAATAAATACRTTTATTTGTTAAAGGTCACTAAAATACAACCTTTATTTTTGTACTTAACATATTATCTAATTTGTTTATTTAGTTGGAAGTTTTGTAATCTACAGACTGGGTGCTCCTAAGGCTTTTYTACTAGTGGCATAATGTATAGGGTACAATTTTCGGAACTTTTTCCCCCCAGCCAGCACATTTTGGCATGGCCATGTGCACAGAATGCCTTCACAGACCAYGCCAACAGCTCAGCTAGGATTCTTTCTTTTTTCCCCTCCTTCTGTTTGTTTTCCATGAGTGATTATCATAAATATAAGACTGAAGATGCAATGGGGTGTAGGAAAGTAAATTCAATTATGTATGCTTCCACATTCAGATCTGAAGAGCGTTTTCACCTTGTTTATACCTTTCAGAGTATTTCTCAAATAGTCAATGAGGTGCCTAAAACTGTTAACTCAGAGTGATTCCCAGTTTGGCTTTAGTTACTTAGCAGTCAGTTTCATTTCAGACWCTAGAAGTCGTGGGCCTGAAGTTTATGCACATAGCAAAGGTTTTGTTAAATCAGTCTTCTCTGGAATCCCTGGTGCCTTGATGATCTCAGTATTTCTGTTTAAAACATACAGAACTGGGTTACTTTAATATAGTGTTTTTATCAGAGCTCCTCATCTACAAATTGATGAAGAGGTGATATGTTGCACTGYTCGAAAAATAAGGATATGCAATCAATGGATAATAATGGAAAGAACTTTTAAAAATTCTAAAATATCTAGTTTTTGAACACATAAGGATCTTTCTGTAGCTATAAGAAGAAAGAAGAAAGAAAGCAGTCTTGGCTGCACTTTYCTGATCAGGCTTAATAGCTTTCACATAGCCTGTATATGTGTTTGTGCATACAGGTATGTGTCTGTACTGAGAGGTGTCATTTTGCTGATGTTTGTCATTTGCTTCTATCTTTCAAAGGTTGTGCTATACGGTTTGACTCATAAGATGCTTTAGAAAAGGCAGCCTGTTCAGACAAGTAACTTCCATCTAGGTCTTTATGATTAGTCAGGCAGTTGGCTGACTTGAGTTCTTCAAAACTCTCCAGAGACTCATGCGTAGTAACCTTGCTAACCTATCAGAAGTATAACCTCTTCTTTACTAGGTTATGTTGCTGGCTCTGTAGTGGGTTAGACTCAGATGACTTGCTAGTGGGTTAAGGGAGAAAAAAAAATTCATGTGCACTTTAAACAGTTTTTATACTCAAAACTGTATAGTACACTAAAAAAAGAGTTGTGAAATTAGCAAATTAGCATTAGCCTTGTTGATACTAGACTTTAACTTGTTATTTTGTTAGTCATCTGAGTGTAGATAAGATTTTGTGGATGTTAAAGAACATTTTTTAAAGGAGCCCTAAATGATGAAAGGTTGTATTTTCCTATAGGATGCTGATTTTTTTACCAGATATTTGATACAAATCTTCTAGCTTTGTAACTTTCAGCAAGAAATAGCTGTGAATCATGGTGTATTGAGTTAATGCTAAGATGAAATRATAAGGAGAGCAGCTACTAAGAGAGCAGAACCTTCACTGTTACTGCTCAAAATAAATATATATATATATTTGTTTTGCTTTTGAGTGATTGCTCATAAAAAAAGAGGGGAGAAGGGTATGAAAGGCTATAATGACATGGCTATCTAGATGCAAACAAAAAAAATTAAAAACACTATCAATTAAAATATGGGACTTCAGAAATATGGTACTTCTTTCCTTCCTTAGTCACAAAGAAGGGCAGGAGATGGAGGGGAAGCAATTTATGAAACAAAAAGAGACAAGAAAAGCTAGATAACAGCAAACCAAGAAGGTATGCCAAGTCATGGGACGAGAATAAATTACATGATCAATATGCATTTACTTTTATTACTTTTATTTATTATGCATAATATTAACTCAGACTACTTCAATATAAAAGGGAGCAGTTGGCTTACCTACTGTTTTTTATTCTGTGGGTCTTTGTGGTGGGAGCTGGGCATGATTCCCCAATTCACAAGAACTTTTTGAGAGTTCATAGGGGTGCACACTCCTGGGGAAGAAAACTTAGCAGTCTTTCTCCTCTTCTGTCTAATATAAACTACCTGCTAGAGCATGTAGCACTGATCCATCCACTTGTGTGCTTGACCTTCCCAGGTGTAGAGTGCTGCTTCCCCATGGGTCGCTGTATTACTGCCTTCCCTGTCGGGCRCTAGCCAGGCCTCCTTCCCTCGCAACTCCTCCATGAGGCAGGCAGGGGAAAGCTGGGYGCCAAGTTATACACTCCTCTTTTTCTTTCTTTCTCTTTCTTGATCATGAAGAGATAATCATCATAAAAACAGACAAGGAGGGAAGAGCAACTTGGATCCCCCTTGCAGTTACAGGCAGGTACCAGCCTGAGGGTCGGTAAGGAGGGAACAGCTGTGTCTCTCCACACCTTCACGCTGTGCAGCTTTACTCTTTATTTTTGCCTCTTTCTCTCTCCTCTCCCCTGAACTGGCAGGCAGGCCCTCCACCCTGCCCACCTGCGCTCGAAACTATTTTACCGAGAGGSCTCCTTGCGCGCCCAGAAGAGCAGCAGCGGCGGAGGCGGCACGAGGGGCGC